TTGAATATTGAGAAAAACTTTGATGAAATAGGAAATATTGTAAAACCTATAAAAATCAAACTTTATCTAATATAAACTTAGTATTGTCACTGTTCAATATATAAAATAGCTCAATAAATGTGATGAAACTAGTGCAAAAGATAAGTAATTTCATATTTATTATTCAAGCGCGTACGTTCTATCGAAAAAATATTCTAGGATTATCCGAATAATATATTTCATATTCCTTATGGAAAGATTCTTTAAATAAAATAAGCATAAAAGTTTAATAAAGCTAACTTTGTATCTGTTAAATATATAAATATCATTATGCTAAAAGCAAGTAATCGCAAATATATATTTTTCGCAAAAAAATAATGCTCGAATCTGGAGGTAGTACAGAAAACTACTCACAAAGAGGACAAGGACATCTTGCTTAAAACGGACGCATTGGACTGCTTGCTTGTTAGTTATCACGAACAAATATCATATAATTTATGTGTTGTGTATTACTTCTTAAAGAAGTTGATAAATATAACAATATTTATTATATAATCATGATATGTAGCATGTTTTTTTGAATCCTTAGAACATAACCTCTCTTTTTGTACCGTATAACGTGGATTTGCATAACACGCTAGTTTGTATACGTTATTTAATTTATTATTAGTTGTTTTGTTATTTTTAAGTGAGTTTAAATAGTTTTATTTAATTAATGTCTCTAGGATAACTTATATGTGGTAAGAGAAATCACCTGAAACTTAACACTGGCAAGATATAAACAATATAAAAATAGTTCAAAATGATAACTGAATGAGGAATAAATTAAATTCATAGTTATTTCAACTCTAGTGCAATGTATAAAAAATAATCTGTTACCAATTATAACTCAGCGTGCATCAATTTTTGAATAAGTATATAATTTATATAATAGTATATTTTTTAAAATATTTTATATTTTATAGATAATAGATATTTCTGAAAGATCAATACATTTAGAAATGTCCAAAAATCTCTTTTAAATTCATGTTAATATATACACATATATATATATATATATATATATATATATAAAATTAGTTATTTATGTTATTAGTTAATTATGATTTAGAAAATTAATTACTTAAAATGAATAGCGGTAAACAAAGAATACAAACAAGAGTTTATTTATTATCTATATGTATTTATTTAGTTTGTAGTTCAGTTGAAACTTTATCATGTTCTATTTTGTTTGTTTACTTAGTTCATTCTTATATAACATGAAAGCATGATAAGGAAAAATTGCTGTCATGTATGTTTTACTCAACTTATCAATAAATTTTATCATGCGTTATTGACAACTGGGTGGACTCATTTTCGTTGGACGCATCCATTTGTTATAAGCGTGTGAATAGTGTAAATAGTTCTTTTGTATTGTGTTTATTTGACTTATTTATTTAAATTTTCTTTGGTTGCAAAAAATAATTTTGATTGTATTTCAAATATAACTTTTAAATAACTTGTTTTGGAATAAATTTAGTCATTCATATCTGATATAGATACATTTTTATGTATATATATATATATATATATATATATGTGTGTGTGTGTGTGTGTGTGTGTGTGTTTTTGTTACTATAACAGTCAATTGACATACGTATTGGCATACTTTGGTCTTAATCTTAATGTTAATAATTATAGTTATGTATGTACACTACAAGGGGAGAAAGGCTATATATAATAGATAATCTGACTTTTAGCTGAACCTGGATCATCTGGCATGACATACATTCTGGGATCCGTAGGCACTCAGACTTCTAACTCTCATGCCATATAAGGCTGACTATGACTAATTACCAATTGTGACATACACTTTTGTATATGAGGATCCGCTCTTCGAACGGAGTGTGTCTATCTTGTACGGTGGAGCGATCTTGTACATTTATGATCATGTTTGTATATCATCGATATACTGAGTCCCAGAATGTAACTAATGATCCCAACTGTCCTAAAAAATAAAAAAAAACTTTCTCACGTTGTTTGCAAAATATGGGCCTTTGAGTGAAACCTAGAGCTTTGGTAAAATTATGATCATTTCTAGGTTATTGTGGTTAATTTTTATTAATTTTGTTCATTTAAACTTTGGAACTATAACCGTAAATAACAGTTTCAGGACTACGATAAAAATAATAGTACAATTGCCTTAAGTTTTCAAAAATTAAGACTTTTGTTGAACTATGAAATTAAATTTTTTTTAAAATTGGTCGACTATGATATGTCATCGTTTAACAAAAAGTGTAAGTGTGTTGGCAAGATTTACCAAGATTTAGCGCATTTAATCAGGATTGTAAAATCCTAATTATTATATTAGGTATATATAATATTATACCTATTATTATTGAAAAATTTCGAGTAAACTGCTAACGTATTTCGCTCACATTTAGTTCAAGTGTTTCTCTCTCGCACATGATGCAAGCGCGTATGACAAACATTTGAACTAATTGTGAGTAAAATGCACTAGCAAAAATCATGTAATTTTTAGATTTTTAACTTCCCGTAGGGTAGTTATAGTAATGGGTCAAAAATCGAAAATGAAAATTTTTGCAAATCTTCACGTTTTGAAGGTTTCTGAACATTTTGACCTCAGATAAAATGGATGTGTGTGTGTGTGTTTTGTATGTCCGCATTTTTTGTCCACGTTTTCGGGCGCACGGATCAACCGATTTGAATGGTTCAAAAAACATTTAATTCCTATTGATAGGGAGATGTGCTGATTAATTTTTGGCAAAGGCAGGTCCAGCCGTTACGGAGATACGGAGCATAGAGTGCACAAAATACAAAACGATTTGAATTATCTAAAAACATTCAATTTGTAATGATTGGAAGAAGAAGTGATTAGTTTTTGGCAAAAACAGGTCCAGCCATTTCGAAGACACAGAGCTAATTGTGCAATTAATCTGTTTTCATATTTGTTGATTTTAGTATGCGATCGCGCACTCCTTTTGTTTACATTTTAATAATACCCATCCTGTTCTCCATCTAGATACTTGTTTAGAATATTTCTGTAGAAGTGTCACATGTTTTTTAGTACTGAGTCAAGCATTGCAAGGAATAGTTGGTGTTTTTTGTATATCAAAAATTAAATGCAAATTAAATAAAATATTAAATAAGGTGTAGTATACAAGTAACTGTTTTTGATATTACACTGAAGATGATGCATACCATAGTCTCGAAACGTATGTAATTATTAAATAAAGTGTGTGTTAAAAATCTGAGTGCTGCATTGTTCATATTTAACATTTAATATTCTTTCTACTCATATCACAAAATTCTATTATATATATATATATATATATATATATATATATATATATATATATATAAAAATGGCTCTCGATCAAATGATTCGGTAAAACTCGAAAATGGCTAAACCCGTTTGGCCAATCGTAGTCTTGAAAAATTTGTGCCAATCCAGAGATGGTCAGAAAGGTGAGATATTATTCCAAAATCGCGTAGAAACTTTACATTTTTAATTTAAAAATTTGTGTAGAAGCGTAATTTAAATAAAACAGTGGACGGTGGCTAATACGTGAAATGTCAAACATTTTTGACAGATGATGTTCAATTACATTTAATAGGATGTCTTACGTGAATATTATTTAATTATGATTAAATTGTAGTAAGTAGTTCTGTTTGTAGCTTTATTTATATACAAAAACGTTAGTAAACGGGTCGCAAGTGTTACTAGAGACTCAAAATATCAACTTTTTTGAAATGTTAATATGAAAATGCACTTTTTCGCATATTTTGCTCAAACACGAGGCTCTGAAAGATCTCATTTGTATAATTATATACTCATTGGTATTTATAAAACATTTTCTAGTTTATATTATTTTTTATTTGCGTTATTTAAATTCAGAACCTAAAGGGACATTTTGTCGAATAACATTTTCCCAGTTATAATTTCCCAGAATTTATCGAAGAATAGATAGCAATATATGAAGGTCCGGTGTTAAAAAGGTCCATCAACAATGTGTCAAAAACCAGTAAAGTTAATCATTGTTTAACAACAATATTTGAAAGTAGAGGGAAAAAGATGTATAACCTGCTGCAACCTTGATTTGAAAACTTTGCTATCGGGAGATAAACGGTAATCTTTGAAAATCCATAATAAAAGTATTTTCTTCTGTTGGTAGTTTTTTAGCATTAGTTAAAAATGTAATTATTTTATAAAATACCTTTAAAATTATAATAAGACTTTAAACCTGTTTACCACCTGGCCGTTCCAAGTTACCCCGCCTATAGGGTAAAAAGGTCTAGATAACAAATTTTTGAAAGACATAAAAAAAGCACATTTGTACAATGATGAATTAGAAGGCAGTTTACTGAACGTAGTCAGATAATTGTTCATTTGAAATTTGTTATTTATTATGATATGATTGTTATGGTTTTCACAATATAGTTTATATTTACTCAAAGTCAAATTGGACCTTTATGCCTCGCCCTGCTCTACATATATATACTTTTTATTAAATTTACTTTAATTCATCGAATGTTACTTGAAACTTTTTAGGAAGCAAGTCAAAGAAGAAATACTCAATTCATTTTCTATCTCTTCTCGCAAAAATTTGAAAATTTTGTATAAGCTCGGTAGTATTATTTACAATTATACACAAAATCCAGAATCTAAAAAGAATCTGAAGAACTTGAAACGTAATTAATAAGTCGAAAGACCAAAAAAGACTTGGATGGATTATACTATGTTTTCTATAGAAAGTGTATAAATCTTCCAGTTTGATTGTATTGACAAACTAATGGGATTTATTGTTTTTATAATACTTTATTGTATATAGCATTGAAGCAACACATCCTTATACACTTAAAGTATTAATATTTTTGATTCTCTAGAAATTGTTTAGAATATATCTGGCTTAGCAAAACAATGTTTGCCGGGTATGCTAGTATATATATACAGATTTATACGTGTGTATAAATGTATAAATCGGTAGAAAATAACTGATCTTTTTGTAATTAATTTGCAGGTATCTACTGCCGACTGTATTGCTATGCTCAAAAGCACGTGAAAAATATTCGCGCAGTGACTCGCACCGCCGAACAGAAGGATGACGAGACCACGCGCTGTCCCGCCGTTCGCTGCAAACACAAGCACAAAGTCAACCAAATGTCGACGAGCAACCACCAGCACAGGTCCCATCATCACAGCAGCCCATACCACGTTAGCGATCACAAGGTGGGCGCCCTGATTGTTGCAATCCTACTATTGCATCCGAATTGCTTACTCACGGATTAATTGTAATCGTATATTGATGGACGTCTCTAGAACGTGAGCTCAATCATGTTCGCCAACATAGGGATTTAGATAAAGATGAGGAATGTGTATAGTATGATAAAAAAGCTAGATCCTTCTTATTAGCCACATTTGGTTTGGAGATAAATTGCAGAAATGTTAATTATTATTCAAGAATAAAGTTACTTCTTATTAAATTCCCGTAGAAGTTTATGTTTTCATCAGAAAATCCGACTCGCTAGTTTTATGTTTTCTCGACGTTTCAAGCCTTTCTGAGTCGAATGAGACCAATTTGGAAAAAGTATGTGTATGTGTGTGAACAGATTTTTATTTTAATTTCATCGAATTAAAAATTTTTGATAGTAACGTAATTTAATTTTAATATTATTTCTTAGTTAAAATAATTTTATTCTTTAATTTAAAAAATAGTGTTTAGAATAAGGTAACTTAATTAGGTAACTTGTATCATATAAAAGTCCAAAAACTCTATAAACAATATTTTTTTTAATATACTACAGCTTGAATAATATATATATATATATATATATATTATATATATATATATATTATTATTATTATTTTTATTATTATTATTATTAATATACTACAGCTTGAATAATATATATATAATTCTAGCTGAGAATCTTGACATTAACGGACAAGTTGATGTAATTTACACTGATTTTAGTAAATCTTTTGATAAAATAGATCATAATATACTTCTTACTAAATTATCTAAAATTGGTTTTAATACTTCATTTACTTATTTCTTTAAAAGCTATCTTCAAAATCGTAAACAGTTCGTTTTTCTTAACGGATTTTTGAGTAACTTTGCAACTGTCAGCTCGGGTGTGCCCCAGGGGTTCACCCTTGGTCCTCTTTTATTTAATATTTTTATTAACGATATATCGTGAGTAATTAATTGTCCTCATCTATTGTTTACAGATGATCTCAAGTTATATCTTGAAATAAACTCAATAGATGACTGCCTAGTAATGCAGTTTCAACTAAATTTATATCACTCCTGGTGTGATCAAAATAAACTGGATCTGAATATTTCTAAATGCAAAATTATTAGCTTCACAAACAAACGTGTTCCGACGCATTTTGATTATAAAATTTCTGACACCTACATAGAAAGGTGTGATGAAATATCTGACTTAGGCATTATATTTGATTCTAGTTTGACTTTTACAGATCACATATCTAATATATGTAACAAGGCGCAAAAATCATTAAGAATAATATTAAGAAACTGCAAAAAATTTGAATCTAATATGTCACTAATTAGCATATACTATGCAATTGTGCGTTCAAAGCTGGAGTATGGATCGATCATTTGGTATCCTAACCATTGCAATAATTCAGATGCGATAGAGAAGGTTCAAAAAATTTTTTTTAAAATATCTATATTTTGAAACGCACAAAATTTACCCTGAACGAGATTTCGACCACAATATTTTACTTAATGCATTCTGCGTATCATCCTTGCTACACGTCGTTTCACTGACAGTATTTTTTCTGTTCCTGTATAAACTATGTAATAATGCCATAGATTGTCCTCAAATTTTAGACTAACTATTCTTTAACGTTCCTAGACTCTCATCACGAACTCAAATGTTTTTCAAATATCCTACTCCTAAGACTAATGCTCTATTAAACTCACCTATAGTGCTAATGTCCTCTAATTTCAACTCAATTAATAAAGATATAGATATTCACAATACTTCAGTAAAACAATTAATTACCATCTGTAGAAGTTAATCTTGATATTTTGTCATGAATAAGTTATTTCCATCATATATAATTTTGTGTTACCGTTAAGAATTTGATAGTTTTTTTTTATTTTGTGTTACGTATTGTTATGTTACGAATTATATTATGTTATGTGTTGGTATATTATATATTTAATATATATTAAATATTATATTTAATGTTATATAATATATATATATATATATATAATATCATATATATATATATATATATGAATTATATATATATATATATATATATATATATATATATATATATGAATACTTAACAGAAAATTTTATAGTTATTGGCACAATATATAAAACATTAATTATTAATTTTGTTTAAGTACGGATTAACTTTCTCTAACAAGGCTACACATTATTCTGAAACATATAAAATGTATGTGCGAATGTTTATAAAAACAATTCATAGAATCTTATAGCTTAAGGGACAAGGGCAAATTTTATCAATTTGCTTACATTTCAAAAATTTCTGTTTTTTCCCTTTAGCCATAAATATACCTATGAATTGGTTTTCAATGTTTGTTTTTTTTTTCATAAATTGGTCACCTGATCATTTTTACTTCATAGGTAAAACAGGATAGTCAAGGAGAAAACGATTTATCATTTATTTTTAATTTTAAAAAGGTTTTATGGGCTTTATTTTATTTTGAGATAATGGTGGTGAACCATTTACCTCCAGACTTTTAAGCGTCGCTTTACCTTAATATACGCTACACCATTATTTGATTTTTTTTTTCAAATTTTGTTTAAAATTTCTAAATCAGTTCTAAAAACAAGTTTCCACAATTCTAACGACAAATCTCAAAAAAAATAGTAAATACTTACTCACTTAAATTGAATAAAAGGCTACTTTGTTAACATTATTATGAATGCTATGTGATTTATAGTTAATCCCACGTATAAATTATTTTAGATATACCTATTTATTTCTCACTTTTAGTTCTTTTTTACAAAGACAGATATAATTCAGTTCTATTTTATTTTTATTATTTAAATATGTTTTCTTACTATATTTACTATATGTGTGTGTGTATTGTTGAGTGTATATATATAATATTTAGTATCAATAATAATCACATTTTCACAATGGAAATGTGACAAATGCATGAAAATTTATCAAACTCATAAACATACGAGAAGTATCTGCTTCATTTGAACATGAATTGCTACTCATTAAAAACTTAGCTTTAATATAAATTTTTATCTTCTACTGCAATTACCTAAAGAAGAGCATCGGTTATAATTAGTCTACATTAAAATTTAATTCTTCGGTGCTGAAGCTTGAGAAAAGATAAAAAAATCAGTTTATGAAACATAATTACATCGAAAGTTTTAATAACACAAAAGCTTATTTGTTCTATTACTTGCATTTTATTTGATTTTGAGATTATAAATTTTACTTATTATTTAACAAACAACGAGGATAGTATTTTTTATTAGACAGATTTATATATAAATTTGCGCAATTAAAGTATAACGTTATAATTTTATTGTTAAATAATATTATAACAAATATATTTATAAGGCTGCGCCGAAAACGCTGTTTCTTATATTTTTAATTAATATGCACCCTACCGTTTTATTTGCTGTTAAGGTTAATACCATGGTGTTTTATACCTTTTTTACAGAAAATTCTCACCATTTTAACTTAACTATCTTCCTACGGTAAGCATAAATCTTATGTAGATTTAGCACTATTTAATATTGTGAGAAAATCTATTTTTTTGAAATTTATTTTATCAATCACGGCACTTTAAATGCAAAAGAAAATTTTTTGATAATATAATCTTCTCCAAACAATCCGAAAAATTGTAGTGTTCATTTTCGTTTCATTTAAATTTATTTTAGAAATAAATATAAAAATCTAATAATAAAAAATATTAACTTATCGGATATTCATTACAATCTGATGTTTATCACTTTTATAAAAAATATAGCATTTACATTTTAACGAATTTTGTTGCTATTTACATTCATATTATGTAGAATATAATTAGCATTCTTATGTTCAGAAATTTTTATATATACCTATATATAAATATATATATATATATATATATATATATATCTTAGTTAATAATTTGTGCAATGCTCTTAGCTAGAAATTCAAATATAAAATGCTATTTATTTTCAACGTAATATTTTCTTGCTAATAGCTTATGCATATTTGATATTTTTCTAAATAATTCATAACTCATGCAATGCATTAGTATATATGTATATATGTAATATGTAATAGGCAAAAAGATACACCTTTTCAATTTAAAAAAGATTTTATGACTATCATAGTAACATTACTTAATCAATGCGATGCCAGCTTAATCAAAGTAGAAATATGTTTTTTTTTTTTGTTATTTTCCAAAAAATTATCTTTTGGTCTTTTCTACCCCATGGACAAGACAAAAAGGGATAATCAGGAGGCAAAAAGATACACTTTTTCAATTTAAAAAAGATTTTATTATATGATAGTACCATTACTTAATCAATCAATCAATGCTCTTTAATTGTTAGGTTGAAAGACAAAGTTAAAAATCATAATCTATGTATTTTTAAACATAATAAACAAATAAAAAGAATCAACTCTGACTGTTATCATAAAGCATGTTTTTGTAAGAATTTCTGTTTAATTTATCATAATCAGACACATTGTTTCTTCAAATACAATTATTACAAATTGAGTGAATACACCTTCTGTTTGAAATACATAGTTTGATAGGCACATTTTTTAATAAGATTGCTCTGAATTACTTTTATATGAAACTTTGTCAAAAGAATTTATCATCAGACTTGGAATAGCTATTAATTTAATTTATGTAAATATGTATATATATATATATATATATATATATATATAATTCTGACATAAACATTTTGTAATATTCTGGTGGATCTCATCTATCATCAATTAACGAGAATGCAATGATCTAATTTGTAGGCCGCCATAACAGTGGGTGTGATAATGGGAGTCTTTCTAATATGTTGGGTTCCATTCTTCTGCGTCAACATCGTGGCAGCTTTTTGTAAAACCTGCATACCCGATCTCACATTTAAGGTAAGTAAACTTTATATTTAATTTATGCCATTAGCGAACTCGTTATGAATAAATTAGTGATTTTTAAGTGATGCGATTTTACTATATTATGACTCCATTTTATTTTTGATATTAGCAAGTTGAATTTTTTTAATAAGCCTGACATAAATTATTAAATATTTTATGTTGACTTAATTATTTTAATTTAATACTGTATTAAGAAGACGTCATATGTATCGAAAAAAATCGTAACTAATATATTCATATAAGATTTAACAACTTTATTATAACAATTACCATGGCATAATAATTAAAAATGAAAATGGCTGCTATTATTATAAATAAACAATCATTTAATAATTATGTTCTTCATATAAATATATAAATGAACTTTCTTGATTTCAAAAATCTTTTCATATCAAGTTTTTTTTTTCAAGTAATTTTCAAATACTTTGTGATAAAAGTACAACAATGATAAGCGATTTACATTTTCTTCTTCATTGTGTAAAATAAATAACATATATAGAGTAGAGCGAGGCTTAAAAAGGTGGAAATATTCACCACTAATAAAACAAGTTAAGTTAAGATTCTGTTAACAATATTTGGAAGTAGAGGGGAAATGTGTATAACCTGCTGTCGCCTTGATTCTTATGATGGTGATATCGGGAGAAAAACGGCAATGCGTGAAAATCTATAACAAAAGTATTTTTATTCGTTGTTAGTATTTTTTTGGTTGTGAGCACTACTGTTTAGTTTACGAGAGCTTAATATAATTTTTAAGTGTACGTTATTTAATTATTTTATAAGATGTGTTGTTAATTTTAATTTAGATTCAACAGTTTTTTTTATATAACCTTTATAAAAGCCTAAACATGGATCGAATAATAAAGAACCAACTGAACCTTTATTCTGGCAAAGGTGTAAACAATGAAGATAGTAAATAAAACAGCAATTTAAGTTAAAGAAGCTATTTACAAGAGTTTTACTGAACATAGTGTGATAGTTGTTTTGATATGTTTTATTTGTTGCGATGTCATTGGTTTGGTTTTCACAGTGTAATTGCTTCATTTCAAATTAGACTATATACAGTGGCGTCGGAACTGTGTGGGCTGGGTGGGCTTGAGCCCTTGAAAAATATGTATAAAAAAACGAACCCACTGGCTGCCTATCAAAAAAAAACGAGCCCACTTATCAAAAATTTGCTTCCGACGCCACTGACTATATATATATATATATATATATATATATATATATAAATATATATATATATATATATATAAATATATATATAAGGTGGTTTTAACGTTTTTAAAATTTTTGAAAATTTTTCCGTGCTATTTCCATACAAAACTTTGATTGAATTGCGCTCTATCAAAGCGTTAATATTAAGAGCTAAAACTTTTAGAGAATTGTTTTTTTTGGAACCTATTGAGCCCCTGGGAGCAAGGAAATTCGAAAATGACCATTTTAAGGACCACCCTAATATATATATATATATATATATATATATATTTATGTGTGTGTGCGTATACATACCCGATTATATCAGCATATTAGTTTTGTTTGTTTATCTTCCAATCTGAAGATGAAATGTTGGAAACTATATATATATATATATATATATATATATATATATATATATATATATATATAGTTATATATATATAGTTATATATACAGAGCCGGTTCTACCTTGAATGCAATGCATGCAAAAAATGCGGGCGCACGCCTTAAGGGGCGCTAAAACTCCGCAAATTAATAAATTATTGTTCTGCTTATTGCTTAATCTCTAATTATTTTTTTTTTATTTGAAGTTAACGTGGAATCGAAAAAAGAAATCATCTAAAAATTACGAGCTGGTTAAGTTGAAACGAAATTTGTTAAAAAAATATATACAAATTATAACAGACAAAAATGGAAAATGGGTAGTCAATGCTTAGAAAATGGCTTATTTATTCCGAAAAATTGAATTATAACTTTTGTTTTTGTTGCAAATGTTACGCATCTGATGAACTTTGAATTTTGAAGGCAAGCGTGCTTATAGGTTTATGGAAGTGGAGCAAATATAAAAAATGGAATCAAAATTCACTTTGGAACTAAAATCGATGAGTTTTTTTTATACATACTATAAAGTTAGATACTAAATTCGTTTTTCTTTGTTTCAATATAGTTTAAGAAATATGTAATACCTTTGCATTTTTTACTAATCTTTGGACAACAAAATTTAATTTTAAAACAAATGGAAAAAAATTGCATGCGAGTGCCGAGGACCGGCCCTGTGTATATATATATATATATATATATATATATATAATTAAAAACTAAATCATATATATATATATATACATGTATGTGTGTGTGTTTGTGTACATGCCACGTAATACCTGTAAATAAACACTTTACTGCATAATAAATATACGCCATAATTTTCCATGTATAATATTCCACCTCTAAATATGTCCCTAATACTCATATGTATTTCGCAGCATATTATGCCCAAATGAGAATTATATATCGAAAGTTTAATATCATATAAGTAACATATAATATCGAATTCTGTACGTTTGCAGATCCTCTCCTGGCTTGGATACTCAAACTCGGCGTTTAATCCTATAATCTACTCGATATTTAACAAGGAATTCCGAGACGCCTTCAAGAAGATACTGACGTCAAACCGCGTCTGCTGCACAGGCGGCGAGGAGCAGCGGCTCATCACCGAGATCAGGCACAGGGACCACTACGTCACAGATTACGGGACGAAGTCGATGGCCGCGATCAAGGAGAGGAGAAACGGTTTGCACGTTTATTGACTATTTAAAATAAAACTAGTGGTGCATGGCATAGTGCCTTAAGGCAAATTGCTGGAACTTCCCGTACAAAAAAAAAATTTTTTAAAAGATTTTTTTTTTCAACTTTAAAAATAATAGATTTTAGAGAAATTTTAAATTTTTGAAACAAATTGACTTTTTTGGAAAATAAACTTTTTAAAAAAAAAATGTTTACTTTATTTTGAAATATTTTGGAAATTTTGAACTTTTTTTCAAAGCAATCATACTGCTTTAGCTGCATAGAGAGGAAATATCGAAGCGCGTAAGCGCTGCGTTGCTGTCTAACGGTCAAACGATGTTACGGAACCCATAGAAATGTAAACAAAATTTATACGTATTATTAAAATCTCCATAAAATATCTGATAATTTGATGTGCCTATGCCTAATGATCATTTTAGACCGCCAAATGGCATTTTTTTAACTTCCCGTGGGGTAGTTATAGTAATGGGCCGAAAATCAAAAATTCATTTATGAAAATTTTTGCATATCTTCACATTTTGAAGGTTTCCGGAACATTTTGGCATACCTCAGAAAAAATGGATGTGTCTGTGTGTGTGTTTTGAATGTTCACATTTTTTCGTCTACATTTTCAGGCGTGCTGTTTGGATTTGGCAAAGGCAGGTCTAGCCGTTTCAAAGATACGGCTAACTCAGTTTTTAAAAGAACGGAGCGTCTGATTTTAATAAATCAAATACATTTTACTTCTATTGATAAGATGACCAATTGATTAAATTTTTGTGAAAGCATCTCTAGCGGTTTCTGAGATCTAGTGAAAAAAGTAAATTAGTGGTGTATGGTATCGTGCCTTAAAGCAAATTGCTAAAGCTTCCCGTACGTACCGTAACGAAATGTTCGAGGAATATTAAATGTTTTCAAATAGATTATTATAAATATTGTAACATTGCCTAATATTTTTAAGAATTATATAAACTAAATTGCAAAGTTGAAATTATTTGTTTAAAGTATATTAAAACTTTAGTCTGAATTAAAATTAAAATATGATTTTTTTTTTCAACATACAAAAAAAAAATTTTTTGAAAAAAAAAATTTGAAACAAATTTTTTTTTTCAAAAGCAATTATTTTGTTGAAACAAGCAGAAAGTTTTTTGAATAATTGAAATCGGACGCTTAGTTCTCTCAAAAACTGCCATTATTTGCAAATTTAGCTCTGTATCTTTGAAATGGCTGGACCTGCCTTTGCCAAAAACTTGTTTCTTAGATCATTCAAATCAGATACTCGATTCTCTCAAAAACTCGATTTGTATTTTCTGCACTCTTTGCACATCTCCCTATCAATAGGAATCGAATGTTTTTTGAACCATTCAAATCGGTTGATCTGTGCGCCCGAAAACGTGAACGAAAAAATGCGTGCATACAAAACACACACACATACACATCCATTTTTTCTGAGGTATGCCAAAATGTTCAGAAACCTTCAAAACGTCGAGAAATGCAAAAAATTTCATTTTCGATTTTCGTCCTATTACTATAACTACTATACGGAAAGTTAATAAGTATAACTATCGAAAGAGAATATACTAATAAATTAAGTTAAATGAAAAAATCTTATGTATAACTAGTATAGCTTGTAAAATTCATGTATAATTTTTTAACTTCCCGTAGGATAAGTTATAGTATTTTGGAAATAAAATCATACAAAAGATGTAATGAAGGTAATGAAGCTAGAACTATTGCGAGTCACGTTGAAATTGAGATATTATAGTGAACTTGTCATTAGTTATCAAATTTAAAAAAAAATTTAATGATATAGAACGATTAGTTTCATAAAAAATATTATGTAATATTTGTCATTCGTAATTTAATTTTAAGTTTTTATTTATAGATATTGCTATAGTCCCTCTCACGTGTAATTATTTATTTAGGAAGTTGATTTAAACAGAGCATGAGCAGTAGATTTCATGTATGTGCAAAATTAATCAAATAATTGATACTATATAAAATTTTAATTTTAAGTTCAGATTTTGAATTTAATAAGGCAATATAAAACAATAACTGTCAATGTATGTAATTGCTTGGGCATCCAGAAATGTATAGGAATGACTTTTTTTAAAACTTTATTATAACTTTCTGCCAACTTTTTTATTTATTTTTTTGTTGTGTTGTTAAAGTATTTAACCATTTTTATTTTTATTATGTATTTAGCAATGCTATCATGGCAGACATATTTTATAAAATTATTTTATTAGTTTTAATAATTATCGTTATTTTCTACAGAATAAAAAATAGATTGTCAGCCGAAAAGTAAGGATAATAAATATATAAGCATATTTAATATCCTTACAAAGTTCAAACGATCATTTAAAGAAAATCATCTTTTATATATAATATAGGTAGATATACAAACTAACTTTATCGATGCTTATAAAATTTGTTACATCCAGTGGCGTACCTAGGGGGGGGCGGTGGGGGCGGTCCGCCCCGGGCGGCACTTATTTTGGGGCGGCATTTTTTAGTTTATTTATACATAGTTGTAAAAAGCAACTTATTCAATGTATATTTATTAACTTCCGTAGGGTAAGTTATAGTAATGGACCGACAATCGAAAATGAAATTTTTTACATTTCTTCACGTTTTGAAGGTTTCTGAACATTTTGGCATACCTCAGAAAAAATGGAAGTGTGTGTGTTTTGTGTGTCCGCATTTTTTCGTTCACGATTTCGGGCGCCCTGATCAACCGATTTGATGGCACAGAAAATAAAAATCGAGTTTTTGAAAGAATGAAACATCCGATTTGATTGATGCAAAAAACTTCAATTTGTAATGATGAGGAGAAGTGGTGATTAGTTTTTCGCAAAGGCAGAGATGCCAAGCAAAATGTGCAAAAAATATCTGTTTTTGAGAGAACTAAGCATCCTATTTGAATGATTCAAAAAACTTTCTACGTGGATTTTATTTTGAATTCTATCTAAAGTTCAAATGCTCACTTAAATACTTGAAATAAATAATTTTAACTTTGTAATTCAGTTTATATATTTCTTATAAATATTAGACAATGCCCTTTATTTCAAATTTGATTGATTGAGTTTTGTTTATTTACTTTTCTGTAAACATATATAAGTTACAGTATTTATATATATATATTTGAAAACATTTAATTTTCCTCGAATATATCATTACAGTACGGGAAGTACCAGCAATTTGCCTTAACTTACAATGCCATACACCACTATTTAACTTCCCCGAGGAGAAGTTTATGTTTTCATAAAAAATCCGAATCGCTAATTTTATGTTTTCTCGACGTTTCAAGCCAATCTGAATCGAATGAGCCCAAATTTGGAAAAAGTATGTGTGTGTATGTGAACAGATTTTTTGTCGTAAATTGTCGTTTTTTCAAAAACTGCTAGACCGATTTCAAAAATTTAAAAGCCATTCGATGTATCTCGATGAGAACTATCGTTTTCCAGATTTGGGCTACGATCAGCGGAACCGTTTCTTTGAAAATCGCAGAAAAGTAAAAAAAAATCGTGCACGTTTTAGCCCGCAATTCTGAATCGATTTTGAAAACTCAAAAACCGTTCGAAAGATATTGATTGGGAATCGTGCTGATTAGTTTTTGGTAGAGATCGGCCGGGCCGTTTTCTTAATAAAGTTTTTTGAAAAAAAAATCGACGATTTTTATGATAATTTTTTGACGATAGATACCATAGTCTTCTAGATCATACTAAAATATTACGGTCCTACGACAACTGGTTTAGCTTTAAAAATTCGTCAAAGTTTGCAAAAATTAGTATGGTTTTTTTAGCATTTGTCAAAATTAGACCTTGATCGACGTTTTCTCAAAAACGCCTGAATCGATTTCAGAAATTTAAAAACCATTTGATGTATCTCGATGAGGCATATCGTTTCTCAGTTTTGTGCGACGATCGTCCGAGCCGTCTTTTTGTAATTTGGAAAGAAGTGTTAAACCTTTCGTCCACATATAAGATCATACTACCGAACCGATTTTAAAAAATTAAAAACTGTTCGAAAGATATTAGTTGGGATTGATACTGATCAGTTTTAGGTGAAAATCTACTGAGCCGTTTTCTTGTAATTAACTGTTGAAAAAAAATTTAAGCCGATTTTTATGAAACTTTCTTTGGCGATGTATATCAATGCCTTATAGAACTTACTAAATTATTACGGCCTTACGACAAGCAGTTTAATTTTAAAAATTTATCAAAGTTAGAGAAAATGTTTTTTTGACGTTTGTTAAAAATAAAATTAGATGATTTAGTTGGTATAACGATAGTGTACTTGGTCTTGAACATAGTAAACCATTAAAGTCCTACGGAAACTGGTTCAATTATAATTATTGATTAATTAAAATTATTGATTTTTGAAAATTTGCTTTTAGAAAATACTCCGAGTTAACGTGTTTGTTCGTGCGTTTGCAATGATGTGTAATAAATTCACTCGGAATACTTTTAATCACTCTTAAATTAATTTATTTTTTATTGATTAAGTCGATTATTTACACATTTCGGGAAGTTCATGTAACTTGCATCAAGGCAAAATACCAGTACCAACTAGTTTTCTTTCTTGAATTATGAATGATCATTATGATTTTTATTATTGTCAATATTTGATTTATATAAATTATGATTAACCATATGATTTAGAATTTTATTCCTCGGTGTATATAAATTTTATATTTGTGTAAATTTTGAATTCTAATTTAATAACAGGTTAATAATTTTATTTTATTGTATTCATTAAAATTCGTTGAATTCGTATAAGCATCTTTACGATTTTGTTCAGCGATTTTTCCTATTTTTTTATATCAGCTTATAAATGTCATTTCTTTTGAAAAGTTTATATGATTACTTTGAAGTGATTTATCAATATTTTTTTAAATCATCAATTTTTCTTTTGAAAATCAGGGCTGGCGGAAGGCGGGGTCTGCTAGGTCTGCAAAGCCTTAGGGCATTATATAAATATGTTGACGAGTGCATATAAATATGTCTGAAAAAAATTACTCTGTGTATTAATTAATATTGATTGAATAACTTAATAATTTTTTAACTTCCGTAGGGTAAGTTATATATAGTAATCGCAAAAATGTCGAAAGTGAAAATTTTTATATATCTTTACGTTTCAGAGGTTACTGAATTTTGGCATATCTTAGAAAAAATGGATGTGTGTGTGTGTTTAGATACAAACTTTTGTCGATGATTGTAGGAACACGCATCAACCTATTTGAACAGAACATTCGATTCGTACTGATAAAACGTGCTAATTAGTTTTTGGCAAAACGGGTCCAGCCGTTCCAAAGATACGGGGCAAAAAAGCCAAAAATTGTAATTTAGTTCTTGAGAGAACGAAGCGTCCGTTTTAAGTAATTCAAAAAACATTTTATTTGTATTGACTAAACAAAGAACTGTTTTTGGGATGACAGGTCTAGAGGTCTAGCGATTACGGAGAATCAATAAGAAAAAGTAAAAAAATGACATATTTGGCGGTCCAAAATGATCATTAGATATATCCACGTCAAATTATCTAATATTTTCTAGAGATTTTAATAATAAGAACAAATTATTAAAAAAGTAAATTTTTGTCAAAAATTTATAGTTTCAGAATTTGTTGAAAGCATTTTAGTTCTTTAGTTTGAGACTACATTGGAAACACATGGCAAAAAGAAAGACCCCTTTAAGAAGTGAGTATTTTAGGAATATTGTAGTTAGGACCGTGCCTGGGTATGTGGCCGCCTGCGTGCGAACATTTTTTGGCCGCCCTTGAAAATAACATAATTAAATTTACATTTCTATGGATTCCGTATCAATGTCTAGCCGTTTCGCTTCGATATTTCGTCTCCAAAACAGCTGCGCAGCGCGATTGATTTCAAAAATTCAAAAAAAGCCATTTTTTTTCAAAATTTTCGAAATTCTCAAAAATATATTTTTTTTCAGATTTCAAAAAATTTTTAATCTTTTTTAAAAATTTTATGTTTTGGTGCGAGAAGTGTCAGCAATTTGCCTTAAGGCACGATGCCATGCACCACTAGTTTATTTATATTAATTTATGAAAACTACTATTTGACTGACTTATAATTGAAAGGGCGGCAATCTGGAGACCGCCCCGGGCGGCAAAAGTTCTAGGTACGCCACTGGTTACATCCATAGTTGAGAATTTTAAATTTTTGAATTATTGTTCCAAAAAATGTTTTTTATGAGCTGTAAAATATTATTTTTGTTCGTTTCTTCGAACGTTATAAATTCTCGGCGCTTTCGTGGTTTTATTTGCCGTCAATGTAAATAGTAGTTATGTTGCAATATAAACAATAGCTTGATATCCTATAATGCCCTCGATGGTATTATGTGCATAAAACAAATATTGAAAACCTAAGAACTTCAACATTGTTTACTTGGCGTATTTGTTTTTACACGCTTACATTCACAAATATCAAGGATATGTAGGTATTATGTATCATGTCTAGTTTATTTTGTTACGCTAATGGACCACCTTTTTCATCGTTAATACTGATATATAAAACTACACCATAAAAATGTATTTTTCTTTTGCTAAGTCTTTATTTGAATCAGAAAAATACGATTTGCATTACAGAAATGGCATCTACGATAGTATCGCATTATGATAGTAATCATAAAATACTAATAATATGTCATTAAATCAATGTAAATTGATGCGATAAAATCGTCTCAATAAAATTTTAAGAAAAAAAAATGAAACTATATTTCTTTTTGCCAGTTATCGACACTATCGTAAAGTTAACCATACTTTCGTTGATGCAAATAAAGAGTAAAGAACTAGCAACAGCTTAGAAGTTTAAAAGTAAATAATGTCCACCACAAACAGCAAAATGTTTCGAATTTACCAACTAAAATAAATGATTTTGATTGTACTGTCAAGATAAAGCATAATGTTCATAATATTATGCCATTCAATGTTATCCCTATACATTGTTGCATAGAGTGAAGTCAAGAATAATACTAAATTATTTAGTGCATTTCAATTGAAAGTAAATCTTACTCGTTTATTGAATCTTTATTTAGTCGCCTTATGATTAACTGTTACTGAAGTTTAATGAACTTCCCGTAGGGCAGTTATAGTAATCGCAAAAAAACGAAAATGAAAATTTTTATATATCATTACGTTTCAAAACCTTCTGAACATTTTGGCATACCTTAGAAAAAATGGATGTATGTGTGTGTATGTGTGTGTGTGTGCGAGTATGTGTGTGTGTTCGGGTACAAATTTTCGTCAACGATTTCGGGAACACGGATCAACCGATTTCAATAATTCAAAAAACATTCGATTCGTATTGATAAGGAGACGTGCTGATTAGTTTTTGGCGAAGGTAGATTTAGCCGTTCCGAAGATACGGGGCAAAAAGTGCCAAAGTCCGATTTTAATAATTCAAAAAACATTTTACTTGTATTGACAAGATGAAGAATTGTTCAGATTTTGACTACTTCCCGTAGGGTAAGTTATAGTAATCGCAAAAAAATCGAAAATGAAAATTTTTATATATCTTTACGTTTCAGAGGTTTCTGAATATTTTGGCATACCTTAGAAAAAATGGATGTATGTGTGTGTGTGTGTGTGTGTGTGTGCGTAGTATGTATGTGTGTGCGGATACAAATTTTCGTCGACGATTTCGGAAACACGAATGAAGCAATTTGAATAATTTAAAAAACATTCGATCCGTATTGATAAGGAGACCTGCTGATTAGTTTTTGGCGAAGGTAGGTCTAGCCGTTCCGAAGATATGGGGAAAAAAGTGCCAAAAACGGTACCTCAGTTTTTAATAGAACGGAGCGTCCGATTTTAATAATTCAAAAAATATTTTACTTGTATTAACAAGATGAACATTTTATCAAATTTTTATAAGGGCGGGTTTAGCGGTTTCGGAGATCTAACGAAAAAAGTAAAAAAATGCCATTTGGAGGTCAAAAATGATCATTAGACATATGCACATCAAATTATCAGATATTTTATAGAGATTTTAACAATAAGTAAAAATTTTGTTTACATTCCTATGGGTTCCGTACCAATGTTTACCCGTTAGACAGCGACGCGGCGCTTACGCGCTTTATATTTTGTCTCTATGCGTTTAAAGCAGTACGATTGCTTTGAAAAAAAGTTCAGATCTTCCAAAATATGTCAAAATATAGAAAACATTTTTTTCTAAAAAAAAAAAATTAAAAAATAATTTTTTTTTTTAATTTTTTTTTTATTTTATTTTTTTTTTCAAAAAAATTAATTTTTTGTCCAATTTATAGTTTCTCAAAAATCTTATTTTTTCGAAGTAAATTTTTTTCAAAAATGTATCCTTTTTAAAAGATAATAATTTTTGGTACGGGAAGTTCCAGCAATTTGCCCTAAGGCACGATGCCCTAATTGCCTTAAGACAGAATTCCACTTACAGCTAGTTTTTACATTTCTATGGGTTCCGTTCTAATGCTTATCCGTTAGACGGCGGCGCAGCACTTACGCTCTTTGACATTTCGTCTGTATGCAGTTCAAGCAGTACGATTGCTTTGAAAAAAAATTCTGAATTTCTAAAATATGTCAAAATAAACAAAACATTTTTTTTTCAAAAAAAATTTTTGTTTTCAAAAAAAAAATATTTTTTTTCAAAAAAAAAGTAATTTTTTGTCAAATTTATAGTTTCTCAAAAATCTATTTTTTTTTAAGTAAAATTTTTTCAAAAATGTTAATCGTTTTTTAAAAAAATAATAATTTTTGGTACGAGAAGTTCCAGTAATTTGCCTCAAGGCACGATGCCATGCGCCCCACTAGTTATATATAAGATTATTAATTTTCATAGAAAGTTTACTTTTTATTTAATTATGTTTCACAAGGCGGCCACAGCCTTCAATTGTAAATGTTTGCTTGTTCAACTGTATAGTTCTATTTAACGGTTTCAGTTGATGTAATTTATAATTATCATGCAAATTATATCGCGGAGCAAATTTATACTGCTACAAAGTTTCAAGTTAACCAGAATTATTGCTGCTCCAAAACCAGGTAAACCATCCTTTGGGGTGGCATCATAAATGCCAAGTTAATTGGATAACATTTGTTATACCAATATTATATTTATATTATAATTTAATATTTTTTATAAATGAAGTAAAAGAAAACTAATAACTTCATATGCTAAGCTTTTATCGTAAAAACATTATTTTTTATCATTTTGAGCATATAACATAATTTTGATGGGGATGGTAAAAATCGATAAGTTTCAAACCGTACCATAGTCCAGTCATTATAGTATGTTTAGCTCGAAATTCGAGATACCCAGCTGTAAGTCTGTAAATACTTGTATATTGACACCCTAAAGTTGTCTCAAAACCTACACATGGTATTGACACCCTACCATATGTAAGTTTTGAGACAACTTTAGGGTAAATATGCAAGTATGTATTTACAGACTTACAGTTGGATTTCTCGAATTCCGAGATTCTTACCTAATTTAAGCTTAAATGACTGGACTATCATTTACACTTTTATCTCTGTTAGAATTTAACAAATATATTTTTACTCGCTATGCAATAACTATATTTGATTCTTTTCAGGATCTTTTCGGGAGTGTACTAGCATGCATTCTTCTGCTGAGTCTATTCATCATACCAGGATACACCAAACAAATATAGATTTGGTTGATGAAATCAGTGCAATATAAATGGATCTCGTGTTATAGTAATTTATGAATAATGAAACCAAAGAAATAAAACTTGCCATAAATCTTGTGTACATAATATGTATTTATATGAGTTATGTTAAATAAATAGATAATACTCTTAGTTGAACTAAAACTTATTTGTGGTACTAATATTCATCGCCATTAGTTATTGAATGAAATAGTATGATTTCAATATTTCGATTGTTAATAAATTGTAAATAAAATCAGTTTTTGTATTTGAATATTTACTTGTTAATCTTGCTTTGCTTTTATTGACAAAATTGAAACATTTTAACACCAAATCATGTTTTCGATATTTAATGTGTGTTAAAATATTAATGTTCTCAACATATCTGTGTGTTATTAGATACAAAATGAATGTGTATATATAAGTCTGAGGAAATTATTTATGTGTATATATTTCTATACGTCTAAAATTATAAATGCGTTTTATTGGTGTGTATTGATTGTCTATATCTGTATGTACATACAGATATAGGCCATATATATATATATATATATATATATATATCATTTCTTTCTGAATTCTTTTTTTTTCTTTTTTAATTTATTGTATTTCACGTCCTGAAAGTAGCTTATCTGGAGTTTTATTTATTTTTGGCATTACCTGTTGTAATTTCAAAAATGTGTAATCACTTATAAGAGTTTGCAAATGTAATTTATTGCTAGACTATAAAAAATACTATTTATCAATAGCAGGGGTATCATCAAAAGAATCATTTATATATATATATATATATATATATATATATATATATATATATATATTGAAGTATGTGAGTTTGGTGTTGATATATATTTTGATAAGTTATTTAGAATTGGGCAGTAACACCAAGTAAAAAAACTAAAGTAGATTTGAAATACTTTATTTATCCATACGTTTCAGTCTTCATCGAGACCGTCATTCAGTGGAAAGAAATTAATTATACAAAAACACACTACACTATTACACTGTGATACACCAAGCTATTAATAATTGGAACATTTAAACTAATTATTTTTTTGACAATTTTTGGTTACATTCTAGTGTGTACAGATTGACTAACGTCTAAATACTGAATGAATTGTGTTTACAAATTTTGTGAAAGTGTAAAAAACTGGCAAACATATGTTTTTAGTAAAATAATAAAAATATACGCTTCATTCAGATATGGTGGTGTTTTTAAAATGGTCGAGGATTATTTTATAGTCATTGCAAAGCGAATTGTTATCTAGTCTTTTATTTATGGCCGTGTCGTTGTGTAAAGATATTAGGCATCCTTCGCTAAATCGTCTTTTAAATAAATTATTTTCGAAATGTAAAATAGTGGGATTGGAAAAATCAATGTTATGTTTGAGCTGATTAATGTGATCCGTTAATTGAGTTTTATTCTGGTTTTTATTTTTAGAGTTTTAGAGATAAAGTTTCAAATTTACTCTCAGACAAAAAAACTTACAACATCGCTCTTAATGATCCTACAGATCACATAAACCGTAGTTGCCACAAGTTTATCGACAAAATCGTTACTAATAAACAGTTACCCAAAGACACAGCTGCAAATTTAAAAAACTTACATCCTTACCACCCAAGAATATACTGTCTTCCCAAAATCCATAAACCTGACTTACCTTTTCGCCCTATTGTATCAGACATTAACTCACCACTTTATAAATTATCAAGATATATAAACAATTCCTTAACTCCTGTCACTAAACAATCCCCATTTCACATAAAAAATTCTTTCGAGTTTGTCGAAAAACTTAAACAAATTACAGTTCCAAATAATAACGTTTTAATTAGTTTAGACGTAGTATCATTGTTTACAAACGTTCCTTTAGACCTTATTCTTGAAGCCATAACTAAAAAATGGCATGATATATCCTTCCATACCACAATTTCCCTTCACTGATTTCGAGAAACAATAAAATTTTTAATTTCCAATACATACTTTGAGTTCAATAGTAAATTTTATTTCCAAACATTTGGTACACCAATGAGATTTCCAGCCTCCCCATCTTTAGCTGAAATAGCCCTTCAACACATAGAATCCACAATTTTAAATTCCTACAATAAACAAATTTTTTACTACCGATATGTTGATGACATCATAACATGCATCCCAAACAGTGACACAACAACTCTTGTAAATTCTTTTAATGCCTACAACCAACACCTGCAATTCACTTCTGAATTAGAAAATAATAAATCTATCAGTTTCTTAGATGTCCAACTCTTCCGCGAAAATAATGATATCATAACTGATTGGTATCACAAACCAACATACTCAGGCCTTAATTACCACTCTTACCACCCCCTCTCTATCAAAATAGGCACAATCATAAACTTAATAGACCACGCATTATTATTATCACACGGTAAATTTTTAAGAAAGAATCTCTCTCTTATTTCACAAATCCTAACCAAAAACTCCTACCCGCAACACCTCATCCAATCCATAACAAAAAATAGAATCTTATATCTCCAAAACCGTCACAATAATTCAATTGAAATTCCAAACCTTGAAAACTACGTCGAAACTACAAGTTTACCTTTTATTAAAGAATTACATTACCCGTGGAGAAAACTTTTCAATAAAAATAATATTAGAGTAGTCTGTACTTCCGATAACACTTTTTCAACTCTTTTTACAAAATTAAAATCAAAATTTAACCCAAGAATCTTAAGTAATCTAGTTTATAAGCTTAATTGCCTAGATTGTAATTGCGTCTACATAGGTGAAACCAGTCAAAACTTGCACAAAAGAACATCACAACACAAAAACAATTCTAAAAATAAGAACCAGAATAAAACTCAATTAACGGATCACATTAATCAGCTCAAACATAACATTGATTTTTCCAATCCCACTATTTTACATTTCGAAAATAATTTATTTAAAAGACGATTTAGCGAAAGATGCCTAATATCTTTACACAAAGCGAAATAAAAGACTAGATAACAATTCGCTTTGCAATGACTATAAAATAATCCTCGACCATTTTAAAACACCACCATATCTGAATGAAGCGTGTATTTTTATTATTTTATTATTTTACTAAAAACATATGTTTGCCAGTTTTTTACACTTTCACAAAATTTGTAAACACAATTCATTCAGTATTTAGACGTTAGACAATCTGTACACACTAAAATGTAACCAAAAATTGTCAAAAAAATAATTAGTTTAAATGTTCCAGTTATTAATAGCTTGGTTTATCACAGTGCAATAGTGTAGTGTATTTTTGTATAGTTAATTTCTGTAAGTATTTATATATAAGTTCTATAACTTTATAATATTTTCCTCCTACATCATATAAAATCTTGTAGTTTTTCCACTGAATGACGGTCTCGATGAAGACCGAAACGTATGGATAAATAAAGTATTTAAAAACTACTTTAGTTTTTTTTTACTTGGTGTTACTGCCCGATCTAAATAACTCATCAAAATATATATCAACACCAAACTCACATATTTCATATATATATATATATATATATATATATATATATATATATATATATATATATATTACGGCGAGTCAATTTGAAGGGCACTTAGGCACATATGATTTTCGGATACTAAGGATCAAAATAAGATACTTTACTAAAGAAACCATACCCCTGAAATGAATTCTGATGTCCCGTGCGTTGATTAAAAAATAAGGGTTTAATATTGAAAAACCGCTCAGGGAAGGTCCCAGGGGATGAACGGGCATGGGCGAATCGGCTTTCCAAAGTTAGTGGTGGTCGGTCATATATTTGGACGCGATTGGGGCACTCTAAATGGGTCAAAATGAATTTTTTCAAATTTTAACCCTTAGTTTTGGGTCATTGCACGGGACATCAGAATTCATTTTAGAGGTATAGTTTTTTCAGCAAAGTATCTTATTTTGATCCTTAGTATCCGAAAATCATGTTTACCTAAGCGACTTTTATATATATATATATATATATATATATATATATATATATATACAGGCATGTGTAAACCGTATATAAATACAAACATAAATATCTATATAAATTGAACTGAACGAATTACTTCAGAACATTTTTATATGTTATTATATATTATATATATATATATATATATATATATACTCGTATATATATAATTAAAAAATCTTAAATATACCGAAAACTTTAACTGTAACGGGCTTAATTTAAAATATTTGTTTTGCATTTATGGGCCTATATCACTTCTTCAATTCAATCACTTCTTTTTTTAATTTGTTACATATAATCTTTAATTAGTTCGTTATTAATTAATCTTTAATGTCTTATTCTCAAAATCATTTATTTGAACAGCTATACTTGAAATATACTATTTGTAACTATATACAATGTGTATATATTACATAATAAAGTTTCATGCAAACTTGAAAATATTTTGCACTACTACTACTACAGCATTAAAATTATAATCAAAATCATTATTTTTTGTGAAAAGGACTATATATTACATGTTCCTAATCAATTTAAAAATATAACAGACGCGAGTGAATCAAGTGAAAATTGAATATAGAGTTTGAATATATGTTCAAGTTCTATTAAGGTTTGAATTTATGTTCTTATTCATTTTACTGAAAATGATTTGTATTTATATATTTATTATATTTTTATGATAAATTACTTGACTATAAATATTTATTTAAGATAATATTGTTGGTCGAAAAGAATACAAAATGATTTTAATAAAGAATATTTGCGAATTTTATATTTAAATGATTTATACAGCATTTGAATTGTCTTACAAAAAATCAATGTGCCAATGTTAAAATATCCACCTTCTTTTTGTCTGAAATATAATTGAAAATATGCGCCCTTTTTCCAAACTCAAAGTAAAACTTTTTATAAACCATACGTTTCGACATACAATTTATACATGTATATCTATATTTCTACCTAATTCATCATTAAAGAACTATATTTTTTTATATTTTTCAAAAAATCACTTGGTTCTTTTCACCCCATAAGCGAGGTATGGAGAGTCTGGGGGCAAAATGATTGTAAAAATACTATACAAATAATATTGTATGTTTGTATGTATAAGCATAAAGGTATTCAATTTATAGTCCCAATATGTTTCAACTTGTAAAGACTCTATATTAGCTCCAGGGGAAACGCAAAGCTATTTTAAAAATATTATTTTTAAATGCTGAGTAGGTGTCACAATCAAGTCAGCAAAATACGAGACTAATTGTTGTCGATAGGCATTCGGATAATCAAAAATCCGGATAATCAAATATATGAAGAATAATGTTGTGTATTTAGTAAAAATAACAAATGCATACATAGATATCAACGAAAATAATGTTTATTGATAATTTGAAATTTTCTTACGTATCTACATATATGTTTTCTTACGATTAGATTACATTACTAAACTGCAGCATTAATCATGCAAAAGTTTTAATTGTAGGTATGTACATACATAGAAATTGATCGCGGTGTGTAGTCGTAGTCTGATAAACGAAGTTCTACTGTTTACTTTCTACGTTTCTATGTTTACTACTATACTTTAGGTGCAATCAAAATATTTCGTTTTTGCGTCTGTTGCCGAATGGGCTGTAGGCCTATAAACAAAAGATAAGCACTCGGATTATCCCGAATATTCACGTGGTTACTCGAGACTAACTTAAGTAAATAAACAAAAGCATAATTTTTATTCTGTTATCTTTAAATCGCGTTGATATATAGAAGAAGTCATTATTAGCCAGGAAACAAAACCGTTTGTGATGGATAAAAACGTGACTGGATTGAAAAGAAAGTTCGATGAAACTGAAGAAGAGAGTGATAAAAAAATGAAGGTATTTTTGTATGTATATTTTTTATAATATTGTGTATTATTTGGTACGCCATTGAATACATTATAATTTCAGTTAAGTATATTTAAGTTAAATTGTTAGAAACATTAGGGGGAGCGCATTATTTTTTCTTCCAAAAGGTTGGCGCAAGAAAGAAAAGGTTGAAAACCACTGCCCCATATGTTGGCTGTTAATTGCTTATATTCTACTCGGCAATATACGTGGCGCGTATCAGTTATATTTTTTTCCAGATACTAAAAATAAGTTTCAAAGCTTAATAATTGTAAAACAGACATCGTAATATGTAGTAGAAAGGAAGTTCAACATTATTATCAAATTCTTAACAAAAAAAGAGATGGACATCTCAAGTCGAAAGATGTAATATTAAACCTTACTTTGTTGTCAAATGTTGATAATTAAACATTCAATTATTGCTTACATTATTTTTTATGATTATTAACTTCCCATGGGGTAGTTATAGTAATGAGCCAAAAATCGAAAATGAAAATTTTTGCATATCTTCACGTTTTGAAGGTTTTTGAACATTTTGGCATACCTCAGAAAAAATAGATGTGTGTGTTTCGAGCGCATGGTCAACCGATTTGAATGGTTCAAAAAACATTCAATTTCTATTGATAGCGAGATGTGCTGATCAGTTGTTGGCAAAGACAGATCCAGCCGTTGCGGAGATACGGAACAAAGAATGCAATTTTTTTTTGTATATCGAAAATAATTCAGATTTTAATTTTAATTCTGTTCTAATATACTTTAAACAAATAATTTCAATGAAAATGAAAATTTTTATATATCTTTACGTTTTAAAACCTTCTGAACATTTTGGCATACCTTAGAAAAAATGAATGTATGTGTGTCTATGTGTTTATGTGTGTATGTGCGTGTATGTGTGTGTGCGGATACAAATTTTCGTCGACGATTTCGGGAACACGCATGAAACGATTTGCATAATTCAAAAAACATTTGATTCGTATTGATAAGGAGACGTGCTGATTAGTTTTTGGCAAAGGCAAAAGGTGCCAAAAACGGTAACTCAGTTTTTAAGAGAACGGAGCGTCCAATTTGAATAATTCAAAAAACATTTTACTTGTATTTACAAGATGAAGACTTAATCACATTTTCATGAAGGCAGGTCTAGCGGTTTCGGAGATCTAAAAAAAAAAGTAAAAAAAAATGCCATTTGGCGATCAAAAATGATCATTAAACATACGCACATCAAATTATCACATATTTTATAGAGATTGTAACAATAAGTATGAATTTTGTTTACATTCCTATGGGTTCCGTACCAATGTTTATCCGTTAGACGGCGACGCGGCGCTCACGCGCTTCTATATTTCATTTCTATAAAGCAGTATGATTGCTTTGAAAAAAAGTTCAGAATTTCCAAAATATTTCAAAATACAATTCTTTTCAAGCCTTTTTTTTTCAAAAATAAGTAAATTTTTGTCAAAAATTTATAGTTTCTCACAAATCTAATTTTTTACAGAGTAATTTTTTTCAAAAATGTTAATCTTTTATAAAAAAAATAATTTTTGGTACGGGAAGTCCCAGCAATTTGCCTTTAAGCACGATGCCATGCGCCCCACTAGTTATAATAATCTATTTGAAAACATCTCATATTCCTCGAACATTTCGTTACGGTACGGGAAGTTCCAGCAATTTGCCTCAAGGCACGATACTAGAGATGGGTAACTCACTCCGGAGTTATCACTCCGATACAACTCCTCTCTTGGAGTGAATCCGAGCGGAGTTGTGTCGGATATTTTGTCATATCCGACTTTCCTAAACTGGTATTAAATCTGTTAACTCGTGCCGACATTGCATTTGGCGTTTTTCCTTTGGGAAGGAAGCGTTCGCTTTCTCGTCTCACAGGCAGTTTTATGATCTTTTAGGTATACGTTTTTTTTTCAGAAAATACAAAAATATTATTTCAAAGATACCGAACAATGAAATTGTGTTGAAGTGTGAACACAATTTCATTGTGAATAGCTCAAATGTATAATTTATTGAATTGTAAGGGGTCATATTTCTAACTACGACAATCTTTGGCCGTGAATGACGGCAATCAGGAAAACCAAAAAACTCGGAGTCAAATCCGAGTCAATCCGGCTTCGGATATAATAATCCCATCTTTACACAATACCATACACCACTAGTTTTAAATTCTAAATGTATCAACTTGATTATGTTATACTTTTATGTTTACTTAGAGTACAGTTAGAAAATTATAAAAATCTAATTGATATCGCAATGGCAAAAATGTTTGAGAACGTATGGTCTAAACGAACATCCCAAAATATTATAAAAAATTTAAGTTTGGAATATTGAGTTGCGCTTTTATGACATATTAGGTTGTCAAATATCTCCCTTCCGCTTTTTTGCTCTTGGTTTATAATACAAAAAGGCGGAAGGGAGATATTTGACAACCTATTATAAGCACATGTTTGTACCCTATAATTAATTCAATAATATATAAAATAATTCAATATTATAAGTTTCTTTGAAAGATATCAATTGCTAAAACGAATTGGATTGATTAGTTTTTAGTGAAATCAAAAACTTTACCATCAAAATAAATAAATGAAAATTGGTGAATGTCTAAAAATCCATTTAAATTGTTATAATTGGACCTGCAACTTGTCTTAAGGCTAAAAGCCACTTAGACTTACAATTAGCTTGCATAAATTGGTGGATTGGAAGGCGCCAACCGCGCCAACACGCAATACTGGCGCGGCCACGAACCGCGATGTTAGGATAATACACATATACATATACTTGTTTATCTATTGTGTATATACTATACCTATAATATGCATATGTGTATAAGATCTATGCTTGGATACGTGTTAAAAGTATAAGCAGTAAGCAATAAGCACATCGATAGAGGGAAGCACGATTAACTAGTCTCTTAATGTTTCTAAATGTCTACATTTTCATGCGTTTTTCAAGTGTCATTTGTAGATCATGTTATTTTTACATTCTATTATTGAATGAAATAATATAAGGTAAACTGCTTGTGAATCTAGATTTAATTAGAAAATCTCTCTAATGGCGTGTCGGGAGTTTTTCATGAACAAAAATGATGATCATGTCGAGGTTAGTAACCTTTCATTGTTTATACGCAAACCTTTTGTTTTTAAATATTCACATAAGTTTGAGTAGATCATAATTTTTTAACATGTACATTAAAACAATTATAAAAATCGCAACACGTTAAGCCATATTTTCAGTTGTCCAAACTTATCTGAATTTTACAAGTGAAATTAAACATTACAAAAACAATTATGTGAATAAAAAAAAAATGTAAATTTTTCGTGATTTGACAAACCACAGTTTACGATGAGCGCTAAAAGTAAATCATCGTCGATTTCGGACACGGTAGGTTTTTATTTAGTTAAAGGTAAATTATTTATTATAATATCATATTGAATTCAAATAACTGATGTTGCAGACACTAGCTGAGGTGTTCCGATGCTTCATTTGCATGGAAAAGCTTCGTGATGCTCACCTGTGTCCTCATTGCTCTAAGCTATGTTGCTATGTGTGTATCAGACGTTGGCTAACAGAACAAAGATCTCAATGTCCTCACTGCCGAGCATCTCTTCATTTGCATGAGCTTGTTAATTGCCGCTGGGTAGAAGAGGTCACTCAACAAATCGAGACTATTCAGGCTGTTAATTCAAATTCCACTAGAGATGATAGTGACAGAGATAGGTTTGTAATATTATTAATTATTGAATTTTAGTTTTTTATTTAGTCAACAAGAACTAACTAATTACTCAACAATATGCAGAATCTTTTAAAAGTAATGATTGAATTCACATTGTATTCAAAACTTTAGTTCAATGTGACAAGGAAGGAAAAGGTTTTATTGCATAATTTATTAGAACTTTGTAATTTGTATAGTATTCTTGAATGTCATTCATGACAAGTACTGATAAAATGTTATCATTATTTTAAATTGTAACCATGGCAAATTGCACCATAAAACTACATATTCGGTCAATTATGACTTACCATATATTTTTTCTAAATATGAATAATAAACTTATTTAATTTTCTCTAGACTGCTAGAGAAAAGATTAACAATTATATAAACATTGGTTGATAACCAAATTGCATTATTGGTGTCATTGGTGCATCTCACTTTTCTTGATGCTTACTATTATGCCATTATAAAAGACTTGAATTTAAATGAGTGCTTATGTAAGGAACAAATTTTAATTTAATTTATTTAACCACTTAATGCTAGGGGTTTTTGTGAAGTGAGGCCAGATAATAAGCAGACTATAAAAGTCATTGTTATGCTCACATTCATAGATATATATGAAATGCAAAAAGGCTAAAAATTATCACTTCAGATAAAAATTTGAAGATAATATATAAATAAAGGAGCAAGAGGTACTCGCGATAGTAAAAATAGGAACAATTCTTAAGCGAGACAGTCTCGTTCGAAGTAGAAACAGAAAATTTGTATGTGGCGAGAGGCTCTCGGGCCAGCACAAAACGGAACACATTCGGCGTGCGAAAGATTCTTGTTCGAGATGCTTAAGTGGTTAAAATATTTATATTTATTTTGTTTTATTCAGTTGATCAATATTTTTCTTGACATGTTTAGATGTCCTACGCATCATGAAAAGCTGAGTGTTTATTGTTGGACATGCTCTTGTTGTATTTGCCACCAATGTGCTCTGTGGGGCGGTACCCACTCTGGCCATACTTTTAAACCATTGGAGGAAGTCTATGAACAACATATCACACAGCTGAAAGATGAAGTTGCGCAATTACGTCGACGTCTGATGGAACTGATTAGTTTTGTTCAAGATGTTGTTAGTATTGGAATAGTAATTATATTTTCAATTTTTAAATTGAACTTTATATTATATTTATATTATTTATTTATATAATTGTATGGTATCAAAATTACTCTGCTAAGTGCTTTTTAGTCTTAAAAAATAACACATTAAATTATTATTATTTATTTTTGAAAACATATCGATTTGTTTTTCATATCCTATAAAATATTAATCCTTTTTTTTTTCAACTTTTTTTTTATTTTGACATGCTAATATATGTATTATAGTACTAGAATATCCAGAAGACTGTAATTCCAGATTGATGAATTAATATTATAACATTTTTGTTTTAGGAGAAAAATGTTGAGTCTGTGAGGGCTGCCAAAGATGAGAGAGTACGTGAAATTCGAAATGCCATAGAAATGATGATAGCTCGTTTAGATAATCAATTAAAAACCAAATTACTGACATTGATGGGCCAAAAAAATGTTCTCACACAAGAAACGGAACAGTTAGAGCATCTTTTGCAAGAAATTGAACATCAGCTGCATTTATGTTCTAGATCGGAACTTATAACTAGAAGCAGTGAATTATCAAGAATGATACATCAAGTTCGAAAGAAGCCTATGACAAGTTTTGTTAATTCCCCCGTTCCTGCTGATTTCTATAGGTTCTCTAATGTTTTTAAATCTTATTTTTATAGCTATTGTATTATAACTATTATTATTTTTTAGCATATCATAAATGTTATTTAGTTTGTTTTACACTAATACATAACGTCAAACAAACCAATAAATTGCTTATAGTAATTAGTAAAAAAGATTTTTTTGTTGCAGTGAAATTGTGCCTGGCTATGATAGTTCTACATTCATGATGCATCAATTTACGCATTTGCAACATAAGGCTGATCCTGTTTACTCACCACCCCTTCATGTAAATGGACTCTGCTGGCGTCTTAAAGTTTATCCTGATGGGAATGGTGTAGTTCGAGGAAATTATTTATCAGTATTTCTAGAACTAAGCGCAGGGATGCCTGAGTGCTCAAAGTAAATAATAATTTATAAATATATTTTTTGATAATTTGTTCTATATATTTTATTTATTTACAGATTTAAAATTTAATTTTTAATGATTGATTCGGACTATTTTCCTATTTATGAAATTTTAGGAAAAACAATTGTGCATTCACTAAAGAAAATATAATAATCTATCTCAATTAAATATTTTATGAAATATTTAAATGTGCTCAATAATGGCAATGGTCAATAAACTGTTTTTTTTTTTAATTATAGATATGAATATAAAGTGGAAATGATACATCAGAGTTCTAGAGATTCCAGTAAGAACATATTACGTGAGTTTGCATCTGATTTTGAAATCGGTGAATGCTGGGGATATAATCGTTTCTTTAGACTCGATCTTCTAGCTAGTGAAGGTTATTTGAATACTGAGAATGATTCTTTGTTACTGAGGTAGACAATTTATTTTAATTTTGTTGGTTTTTAAAAATTTGCAAAGTTTTTAAACAAAATATGTTAATTACAGATTTCAAGTGAGACCACCTACGTTCTATCAACGTTGCAAAGAACAACAGTGGTACACTAATCAATTACTAGCTGTGCAGAACCAATACATACAGGAGATAAATGAATTGAAAGAGGTATTATGAAACACTTTTTTACTTTCTATTTGAATACGAAATTTCTGAATTTTTAACATGTTCTTGATTTAATGTTTGAGTTTGTACTTTTATATCTAAGTTAACGTTAAAGTTTTGTATTGTGATTATATAAAAATTTATTGTAGTTTTGTGATATGGTTCACAATATATAAGAAATTTATCTTATAGCATGCAGATCTGGTTGATTTTTGGAGAGAATTATGGTGAATTATAAATACAAATATGTAAATTACTTAGTATTGTTAATGATAATATTCTCAAAGCTGGATTAATCATGATTAAGTTTTTTAAGCCTTACAAATAAATACTTTGGCTCTTTTGTATCATTAATTAAAGAAAGAAACTTTTGTCTTCATTTTCAGCGATTAAATGTGGAAACGGCACGTAATTCTGTATCAGCAACCAAAGTAGACACTCAAAATGTAGGTGCATGTGGCAGTTCAGTAGAGTTAGGAGCGTGCTGTGCAGCTGGACCATCAACAGAATCCCCTAGTGATAAAAATAAGTTAATTACTTCTAATATCACATCATCTGCATCTGTTGGCTCTGTGACTCACAGCTGTCCATCTAACAAATCATTTGTCACTTGCAGTTCACAATCCGTATCCGCTCAGTAAATACTATTTACACTATTTAGATTTTGCTTATCAATTACAGCTCAAAATCATTAACTGTTAACTTTTCACATCAGATCATCTAAGCATACTAGTAGTGATACATCTCAAAATCTTGACAAATGCTTTGAGAATATCAGATTGTCCTTACCTACATCAATGAGAACTCCAAAGAAGCAACAAAAGCACGTTGCTGGCTGTTGCAGCAAATCAATGGATAAAGCTGAATCTACTTCTAATTCAATTGGTAATCTTTTTTATTATTCAATATATTCTTTCCCTCACAAATGCTTAATCCTGTATAAGATTATACAAAAATATTGTAATAGACGCTATGTTGATCTATTGAAATGATAAACACTCAATTGTTTGAATACCACTAAGTAATAACAGAAACAATATATCACAGTTCATTGACATTATAGTATTATAGTTTTAGCTCATTTATTACAAGCCATAGTCCAATTTTATTCAGCATTATAAAGCTTTCACATTTAGTATTTAACATGTTTACTTCCATCTACAAGACCATTCATAGATTGCAATTTTTTTAGCACGTAAACTACGAGTCATCTTGTAGAAATACAATATTTAATTGATTGTGAAGACATTTTTTCTAAATTTTGACGAAAACTAGAAATAGTTTTTTATAATTGGTCAGATTTTTTAAAATTGCTATGGTGGTCAAAGTATTGAATAATAGCATATATACATTTTATTATTGTGAAGAAGTATGAACAATACTTCTAATTCATTGATATTTAAAAATATAAAACAATTCATTTTATTGAAGGTCCCAGAGGTTGCGATAAGACTGAAGTTCGCCTATTTCGATCTCTAGCATCATCATTGTCAACTCCAAATTTAAGATCTTCTAAAATCACATTATCTAGTAGCAGCTGTGAAAGTGTTGTATGTATGGCTTTATATTATATTATTCTGATTTGAAATAATAATTGACTTAATTATAATTTTAGGAATTACCAGATCCTGAGTTTTTAGATGAAATATCGCAAGTTAATTTGAATGATGCTGCTGTTATTATTGAGGACTCTATTGATGAAAATGATGTTGATAATGAAACAATGTCAGGTTTGTAACTTTTTAAATGTATCTACATATCAACTATATAATCCTTTGGCCACAAATCGCTTAACAACTGAAGCACATTTTTTTAAAAAAAATTTTAACATTTTGTTTGAGTTTATTGTATAATAGCAATGCAATAAAAATGTTATTGTTTTAATTTTTGATTAAAATTGACAGATGGTTAAATAATGTCTGAAATGTACTATAATTGATGAGCATCTAGAATTGTGCTTAGCAACTCTGAAATTTAGTATTTTTGAGCTAATTGTAAGAAATATTTGTCATCGCTGAAGTAAATAAGAATTCAAAAGTTTTCGAACTCTTTTTGTATTTTTTTTTTTTATTGATTAGGCGAATATCATTAAATAAACTATAAGCCAATTGGGTTCATTAATGTGTTATATTTCATGGTATAGTTTGATTGAAATGTCATTATGTGATATGCAGTTAGTATCCTATTCTTAAATCATATACTATTTTCATTAGTGTTTTATTAAATAGGTGAAAATGATGTTGAATATGCTGAATTTTCAATGGCTCAAAGATATTTATTGGCCAATAGAAATAATAATGATGACATAGCAGAGGAATCAAATGTATCAAGGAGCAGCATTTTAGAAGGTATGGAAGATGAAGTAATGATATTTCAACTTTTCGAAATTCAGGACACAGTTTCTGGAAATAACTCAACAACTTCTCTACTTGCCATGCAGAATAATGAAGGTGCCTTTATTTTGTTATTGAATGTTCAATTTTTTCTTCTACAATGCTTCATTAAAAATCAAAATACATTTTATATAATTTCTGTTTTAAACAAACCTCAAATTTTTTTCAGCATCCCTTAATAAGATTTTTTCTAGAATATCACTTAATAAGATTCAGTATTGAGAAAAGTAAATGATTGGATTTAAAAATGGTATAGTTTATTGTCTGCAAATTCTATTTCATATACAACCATGCTTGTATCACGAAGCAATTCGCTCCAGCATTACAATTTCTCTTAAGTTTTTTGAATATTAAAAATAAACTGTAGCAACTTTTTCGGGGTAATTCTTATCCACAACTTTAGAGTTTAAAAAGCTGCTCATAAATTATTGTAGAGCTTTTAGCTGTAATTTAAATACAGTACATGTAATATCTATGATATGTTATGCTCGTACATTCTCACTATCCTCATATTTTTCAAGAATTTCACGCTTTAAATCAAGTGGCATGATACTTTCCTTTGGACTCTTTAGGTTTTAAAAGTAAATAATATTTTGTTTATATTCATTAATTTGAGGAATTACTCATCATGCTTTTAGTAAATACTTCGAGTTATATTAGGCGCGTATTTTACTTTCAAAAATGTGTAATAAATCAACTCGGAATACTTATAAATTACTCATAAATTATTGTATTGATTTATTATTGGCTAAGTCGATTATTTATACATGTCATGAAGTACATGTAACTTACCTTAAGGCAAATTACCACTTACAACTAGTTATTTCTTAATATTATATTTCTACAACTTGTGTCTATAGATATATAATATGAAGAACTAAGATAGAGTTCGAAGATAATTAATTTATGAGAACTAAAATTGTTTTCTCTGCTTCTGACTGTGATACATCAAAATTTGTTCGATACGCTCATGTGTATTTACAGTTGCTCTGATGTATATTTATAGTTGGCCAACTCATAAATTTATATAACGTATTTTAATTATAATTTAATCAATATTATGTAATCAAAAACTTTATCCAACTATTACAACCATATTTCAAAACTTATTTCACAATACTTTTTTTCACAATTTACACGATTTTTTCTTATCACTGAGGTAGGTCACAAAATGCGTTTAAGAATGTATAATAATTGGCTCTTTGAAATCTATTATTGGAAGAAATTATTAAATTATAAAAACAATGAAATTATTAAATTTTTTGTCTAACAAGTTTTCTGAAATTTTATTAACTTGAATTTTTGTATATTTTTGAAAATTTAGTTTTGCATCTAGAAGAGAGATATACTAAGGTTGATATATTTATCATTCTCAAGACAAAAATTTTGTAATTTACCCTTTGCATATCTTGTTTGAAAAAAATTATCATATTGTTAGTACTTGAACTTTTTCTTCAAATTATTATGTAAGTTATATTTCTAAATAACCTAAATTTTTAGAGAAATTGAAGTCTTAACCACAATTTATATAAATATTGCACATATTGAAGAGGTATTGACATTTAAACCAATAATACAAAGCATATTTATTGTTTATTATTATTCATTTAGATACACCCGCATTGTCAAATGCCAGACGTCCGCTGATTTTCCCAAGTATATTAGACAGCCTCAACGACATCAGTCCAGTTCAGAGCTTAGACGCAGGTTTCGGATGTAATGGAGGGGTATCTGTCTCAGCGCCTGCATCCACATCAGTGTCTACTACATCGTCAACAACTTCCTTTATCAACTCGTCAGTGTCGGCTGCAGCATTCATTCCTCCTTCTGTCTTTAGAATGACTACTGTTGATTCATCATCTTCCACTAGTGCTCTGCCAACATCTTCTTATGAAAGAAGCTCTGCCGTTTCACCTGACAATCCTTTTGCTAGACTTGGTGCATCAGCCTCGTCTAGTAACGAATCTTCTAATATATATTGGGGTGATAATAACTTAATTTATTAAATTATTTGTTTATGGTTTATTTTCCTGCAAAATTGAAAACAATTCCCAATGCAGCATTTCAATGAAGTTTAATATTTTCAATCACCAGCACAAGTTAATTTGATCTTAATTTGAAATTAGTTTTGTTGCATTGGTTTTTTTTTTATAGGAAACCATAATGACTTTGTTAATGTGATTAGGTATCCAGATACGCACAGGCGCGATATTCATAAAAATTAACTAGTGGTGGTATATTTGTTATATCTGTTGTTTATGTTATATGTGTTTTCTTTTTCAAATGGAATTCAGGCAGTGTATTCATTTCCTCATGTGAGCGCCTTCAATAGTTCTAATATTGAGAAATATACTAACAAATGCCATTATTTTAGTTAGTCTTTTTAAATTCACTATAAGTAAATGTACTTATACCAAATAAATTTAGACTTGCACATAATTACCTTCAATTAAATCTCACCCCTCAAATGAAACACAAATAGTGACATATGATGTAATTTCAAAGTTTTTATTGAAGAATTTTAATCTTTTGTTTAATCATTTTACTCTGTTGCCTCAAAATGTAATGTTGAATTCAAAATTTTTTATGATATTTAAATTTATTTGTTACAGGTCCTGGATATTCACTTGAACCATTTTCTTGGAATAAAATGTCTTCTCAAAGCTTAGATAATTCACTCCGTCTAAATCGTAATTCTGCTTCTGCATCACAGCCAAGAACTTCGGTAAGAATCTATAACTTAAACATGATATCTCTCATACAAAATTATTATACTTTATAAGAAAGATTTTTGTGTTTACAATTTTAGTATTTTATACATTAAGGTAAAAAATTGTTCATTTGTTTAAATCAGGCTCTTTCATAATTATTATTGATAAGATACTTGCTTGACTTATCACAAAACAATTTTTCTAAATCTAAATTCTATATAAATTATCCTCAAATTATAACTTAAATTCGTAACATTTAATTTAATTTGTAGCTGGAAATAGTTTTATTTACTCTTTGAATCAAAATTAATATATATCACGCTTTGCTTTGTGTGAGAATAATCTTACGCAAATATACACTAAATAAAAATAATGTTGCAGGTCACAAATTCATCAACTGCATATTTCGACAGCATTATTGATTCTTTTCAACTATCTCCGGTAACATCATCAAACCAAATTGCAGGAATGAATAATGGCGGGGATAACATATCCGAAAGCCCTGAGCAACTCATCTCAACTAATGAACAACATGCACCTGATGTTCAGGTTATACCATTAGCCAAACTTAATATTTGGACAGAACTTTAATATGCAATCATATATATTTTGAACACAGTAACAAGCAATAGTTTCAGTCACATTTGTTTTATAATAATTAGAAATTAACCTTACATCTTAGTTTATCATATTTTTCGCTACTACAGACACTTTTTCGGCTTTGATACTTTTACTACAATCTACTGTCATTTTCAATAATGTATTTTAATAAATTTTCCTTATTATAAAAATAATAAGCACTATGATTTAGGCTTCCACAAGCAGGGACATAACTTTTAGCTGGTTGCCATCTTTACGTGCTGGTTCATCTAGAAAATCGACTGTCAACAGCCGTGCTGCTAGACCCAATTCTCCACCTAATAAAGATGTTAAGGAAAAAGGTTCTGATAGGTAAGATAGAATGAATTCTATATATGTAAATAAAATTACGATGATATTGAATTTCATAGGCATTTCAATTCGATGCATATTAGATTGAAAATCGTCACAACTTGAAATGCTTATTATAAAATGTTTTAAATAATGATTGTATAATTTCAGGGCTTCTGGTGATCAAGACTAATATATCGCTAAATTAGTATTCTATATAACTATATAGATATATATATAATTTCCTGGTCATTTACTAGTTCAGGCAGTATTGTATATATAAATTCACCACCATGCCTAATACATATCTGTGAATTTTAGCCAGACTGTGATGTAATATCTTTCATTATAATTTCATATTTAATTTTTTATTTCATTTCATAAATATTGTATGTGATATAATGAATTAATAATACTCATGCATACATGTACTTTGTACCACAACCAAACATTATTACAGTGCATACTATGTATATTTTCTTGGAAAATTCTATAATGTACTTATGTTAATAAATTATTAATTTACACAATTCCAATCAATGAAAAAATAAATAGTTCATAATTCTTTATTATACATAACGATCACATATAAATTGTGTTATATACAAGAAATAACTTGCTTGCACTTATTTCTGTAGTAATAAAAGCCAGATTGTTCTATGGTATGGTATATAAATGGACATTTTGGACATAGGATTTATCCTAGTTTTATGAATTCTTAAAAAATACAAATAGAAATAACTGAAACTTAAATTTAATATTCTATCATATGCTGCATTTGGCAAGATATTTGTTACTTCCCTCTGTAACTTCAATTTTTGTACATGATCACACCAATTCCAATATTCAATTTTCTAGGTATTTTAATTGATATTTTTAATAACAGAGCCATTAGTTAGTGTTCATATTTTTAAGCATTGTACTAAGAAATATAGAATCAATTCAGTGCTGGACGTAACAAAACAGGTAATATTTATTATTTAATGGATTTACAATTATAACTAATACCTAAATTTCAATATTACATAATTCTGAAAAGAGTAATATATTAGAAAATTACAATTTTGAATTTAAATAATTCGACTAGCTTATTTGTATTATAAAATGTTTACAATTAACAAAAATTACAAATTTACAATTATGAAAATTTTAATACTAAAAAAATACAAAAAATTGGGGTTAAAAAATATACTTATATATAATGTATTATTATATTTTTGTGATGAAAAAAAAATGTAAATGCAAATATTCACAACAATCTGAAAAACTTGCCAAATCCAATAAAATCGAATCATTAAAATGATTTAAATGTTGCCAACAATTTGAGCTAACTTGAACATAAATAATATAAATCTAACACTTGTATTGTTCTACAATACATAAATTTTCAATCACATAGAAACAGTGAATATAAATGTACATAAAATATAAATTAGTTCAATTTTTAACATAATGGCATTTACATTTCAAATTGTTAAAAGGGTGTTGTGTCTGAATTATCATGATTTGTATTATTGTAGTCATCATTTTGGGCAGTTAGTGATTGTTGCAAAGCCATGGGCGTAAGCCATTCTCTAGGCAAGCACCGTTGCAAAAAAGGTACACATGAACTAAAATAAGCAAGTCTGTTCACCCAACTTGGTATCTCCTGGCCGCACAAAATCTGCAAAATGACATTGCACTTTATTTAGGTATTTGTAACAAATCAATATTGTGAGTATATATGAATTAGTTGTTGGAAAATAAGTGATGTGGTAAAGTTATTAAGTTACAAGAACTTTGGGATATCTACCTGAGTTAATGATCCACTAAAGTGATTACAATTATTGTTCATCAAATGATAACGATCTCCACGAAACTGTTTTCCCAGTTCATTCACTATGCGTCTAACCTCCTCTTCAGTAAAGTCTGTGCAGCCAACCTGTACGCTTTGACTAAAATTTAATTTCATTTAATTAATTGTTCATTAACTTTATAAAGAAATGGCATTATTTATAGAGGAAATGAGCATTTATCATTTATTATTTAAGATAATAAATATTTTGAAGCAACAACATATATCAGTGTTATTGGTCGAGATATATGGAAAAGCATATTAATCAACTTGGATTAAATTTAGTACTCGATTTCACAAAACAAATTATTAAAAATAAATATGCAAAAAACTAATATCAATAATTATCACCTTCTGCCACCTATAGATTTTGTACTAGTGTTACTCTAGTAGTTTTTGTAGTATCTATAGATATAGTTTTAAAGCGGCACTTAATCCTATAATGCTCAATATGTAACAAGTTCAACCCGAAAATCTACATTCTATTGAGTTAAATAATTACAAATTGCTTATGAATTTTGTATATGATTTTACCGAAATCTAAACTGTTCTCCTAGCTCGTCATGATTCCTAGGAGTGATATCAAATATTCCACTGCAAGGATAGGGGTGACCACCATATGCAAATTCGGTTCCGTATATTTCAACTCCAGAATGAAATACTCCAAGCCCAATAGAAGTGGTGTAATCATTTATCCAATACTTCCATCAAGAATTGAAAAAATGGATTATTACTACATATTATTATATAAAGTTTGCAGAAGTTTCAAATCAACAGATTATTTAATAAGCGGTGATATTTTAGTAACTAACCATATCATAAACATTCAAAATAATTGGTTCTCTTGCCATTTTGGGCAATAATTCGTCAGATCCTTGATCTTTTGGAATACTTATACAACTTGGAAAAGGGAGATGACAAGATAATCTATTTGAAAACATCTCAATATCAGAACAACAATTCTCAAAGTTATCGAACTAGCACGCAAATATCACGTCTCTTTCCTGACGAATTCATATTCGGATATTGCAAATATTTATCAAAATAACAATAAACAAAAAGATAAATTTACAAACACGACGCCCTTCACTGAGCAGTGCGGTCATAGATAAAAGAAATAAGTGCCGTTGCGAAAACAAAAGTTTACTGATAAAATGAGTCGCGATCACATTAGTCAATATTTGCCACTGTCACCCTAGGCAATATTAGAATATGACATATTCATACTGTCACTGTCTTCGTTTCGTTATAAATGAATAAATTTTTCCAGGATTTCATCGTAGTTTATAATTTTTCTTGATTACTTGAAATTTTTTGTATTTTTACGCTAACTATACGGAAACTTAACAAAACGCTGGTTGGGCTGGTTGATCGTCTCGCAAAACAAATGAACGCGAGTTCTCATCCATAGATAAATACACAGATAAAAGAAGAGTATAAATAAGCATAATATGGATAAATAAGCATAAATGCCTTAACCTATAATCCAGTAATCCACTATTTTTATAATTACTTATAATAGTACATCAAAGCATAGATAAAAGAAGAGTATGTGAATTATGGCATGGAGAAGTATGAAACAGTGATTAGTAAAGCTCTTGAAGAATACCTAATCGATTAATCTATGTTATAACATAGTGAAAATAATGTTTCTTTGACTAAACACTTATCTAATTATCGTAATTATCTATCTAAACAATAAATTAACCAAATTTGTTTAACTTGCGCGCCTTTTTTTAAATTTATCATTTAGCAACTTCAATCGGCAGCCATCATGGTATGAACTGTCAAGTGTCAATACTGTCAATTACGTTTTATGGTAATTGTGAAAAGAATCAGGTTCCAATCAAATCCTTGATTGGATTTAACTAGTTTATGCACTAAATTGTTTGTTAAGTACATAAGATTAATCTGACATATAAAAATTACGTGAATATATGATAAAAGATTGATTTTGTCCAAGGATTGGTTTGCACGCATTTTCTTACTATCTAATATTAATTATGTTTCTTAAGCAGGAGTCTTGATGATGATGATTGTAATAATGTTTGTTCAAACAGGATTCTAACGTATCCTTTTATAATTATTTACTCACATATGAAATTGCCAAATATATTTGCATATTCTATGAGAACGCGTGTTTCAACAAAGCTATTTGCTCTCAAAGCAGGAGTCTTGATGATGATGATTGTAATAATGTTTGTTCCAACAGGATTCCAACATATCCTTTTATAATTATTTACTCACATATGAAATTGCCAAATATATTTGTATATTCTGTGAAAACGTGTGTTTCAACAAAGCTATTTGCTCTTTTCAATATCAAGTCATCAATCAGTAATTAAAATAACGTACAAGAGAATTTATTCAGACAGTCATATAAGATATTATGTTAAAGCATGCCAGTGTAAGTCGGGTAGTGATGTTCAAGTCGAAGGGCGAGTTGAGTAAAGGATTTTTTGTAAAAGTGAGTCCTTTATTATATACAAAGAATAGTAATATTGAAATTACATAAAGGTGTTCCATAGACAAGAATGGTTCCAAATGCTTTATATGATGTCGAGGTAGAGGTTTATATTTTGAATAATTTATTTAATATTTGACATTTTCTAATGCATTGGTTAATTTTGTCAACAACTTTGCATCAAAATCCTACTTAAAGTTAAATATATATTTGTATATTGCTAATTGGTGTTACGTTTTGGGAGCAGTAATTTAATATCAAAACAAAATGAATTGAGAAATTACCATTTAAATTGAGAATTGATTTTTCAAACTTTGTTCAAAATCAGTAAAACGTCTGATAATCTGAAAGTGCTATATATTAAAGACTTTACAAAAACAAGATCCACTGATATACATCATCATCACAAATTAGAATATATAGAGTGATTTTCTGATTTGTAATGATGATTAGTGGATATTTTCACTCGGCTTGCTTCGCTGCTCAATGCACCATAATTAAGAAGACAAAAAAAAAAATATGACCAATTAACTTGATCCAGTAAAGTTGTATCTAATAGTATATGCACACTGGGGTAATTACTATCTATAATTATATTTAATTAATGTTAATTATTATAGAATGCAACTAATGTTCTGGTTCTTATTAATAAAACAGATTAAAAAAATTGTTCATTATGATTGCGATTTATATACTTATAGTTAGCATATTTTATGACTCTACAATATTTTAAGTCTAATTTATAACATTTCCAGACAATTTATAATAATTTACTACATTTTTAGGCAATTTATAACATATTTCATTATCATAATATTTACAGACAGTTTACAATATTTTTATGCATTTTATGATATTTTTAGCAAATTTACAACATTTTTATACAATTCATATAATGGTACAATACTTTAAACAATTTATAACATTTTGCATTGAATAATTTATACTTTCTAGAACACAAATTATAGTCTATTTATTATGGTAATAAATTGTTATGATAATAAATATTTATGTTAATTGATGTTAATAAATTGAATTATATTGTTATTATTACAAATATTAGCTATGATCTTTTAGCAGAGAATAATAGAAGAATTATTGAAAATCGATTATATAAACATTGTTAAATATGAAATATTGTTTTCGTCATCATTTGTTGAAAATAATTTAAGTAATATACACTGATTTATATTAAAGTGGTGAGTAACACTCTAGTAATAACAATAAGTTAAAATGTTTATTCAAATTTAAAATGAGGAAAACATTCTGCATATATATATATATATATATATATATATATATATATATATATATGTATGTATGTATATATGTTTTTAGATTACTGAATGATGACGCACATCAAGTGTCGAAACGTTTGATGGAATAAATAATTTTGTTATTAAACCTTTTTTTTTCGACGGTTGGGCTGCAAAAATATTACATATATATATATATATATATATATATATATATATATTTACATATGTATGTAACACCGAAACATATGGATTTTAAATAAATAAACTTTTAAAAAAAACTCTCATACTATTTTTATTGATGTTACACCCGAGTTTTAAACTCAAATTAAGCATATATATCAACTCAAATTAAACATATATATCAACATCAACTATATATATATATATATATATATATATATATATATATATATATATATATTGAATGATTCTGAATTTGATGTTGACATATGTATTAACAAAGTCTAATAATCGGGCATAACATCAATAAAAACATGAATTTTTTTCAAAAATTTATTTTAAATCCATATGTTTCGGCTATAATCCTAGCCTTCATTCAGTGGAAAAATTAGTTGATCTTAGTGTTAAATTGGAAAATTTTAATAATCCATGGTATCAGGATATGGTAATGCACCACAATATGTATTATAAACATTAACTTGAAATTACACAATATTTTCACAAAATACTAATTTTAAAAAATCACAAATGGATAGTGTGTTATTCGTAGACTGGTTGAAGATGTAATTTGTAAAATAAATTTTTGAAAGAAATTCGTGTTTTTATTAATGTTATGCCCGATTATTAGACTTTGTTAATATATATATATATATATATATATATATATATATATATAATATATAATATATATATAATATACGTGTATATATATGTATGTGTATATATATATGTATATACACCTAAGTCTGTTTTTACACGGTAGATTGGTTCTAGAAGAAGCCGTGTAAAAAAAACGTGTAAAAAAGACATTGATCTTATACAAAAATGGGTAACTAAATAACATAAAATATTTAACAAAATTAAAAAACATCAATAAGTGAATAAATACAAAATATTTTTTGGCTTACCTTTTATCTTAATGCGTTAAAATTAAATTTAATGGAAAATCAAATTTGCCTGCAATCGGACCAATATCGGTCAATATCGCTGTTATATAAAAAAAAAAAAATTTCGAAAATTTTTTGGACCAAAATTTTGTTGACCAAAAATTTTTTTGACCAAAATTTTTTTACCAAAATTTTTTTGACCAACATTTTTTTGGCCAAAATTTTTTTGACCAAAATTTTTTTTCCCAAAATTTTGTTGACCAAACTTTTTTTGACCAAAAATTTTTTTGACCAAAATTTTTTTCACCGAAATTTTTTTTCCAAAATTTTTTCGACCAAAAATTTTTTTGACCAAAATTTTTTTGACCTAAATTTTTTGGGACAAAATTTTTTTGACCAAAATTTTTGGAGCCAAAATTTTTTTTCCAAAATTTTTTTCCCAAAATTTTTTTCCCAAAACTTTTTGGACCAAAATTTTTTGGACCAAAATTTTTTTGACCAATAATTTTTTTGACCAAAATTTTTTTGACCAAAAATTTTTTTGACCAAAATTTTTTTGACCAAAACTTTTTGATCCAAAATTTTTTTGACCAAAATTTTTTTTCCGAAAATTTTTTTGACCAAAATTTTTCTCAAAGTTTTTTTTGACGAAAAATTTTTGGACCAAAATTTTTTTTGACCAAAATTTTTTTGACCAAAATTTTTTTGGCGAAAATTTTTTTGAACAAAATTTTTTTTTCCGAAAATTTTTTTCCCAAAATTTTTTGGTCCAAAATTTTTTTGACCAAAATTTTTTTTCCGAAAATTTTTTTGACCAAAATTTTTCTCAAATTTTTTTTCCGAATTGGTCAATATCGGGTTAATATTGGTCAATATCGGTCCAATATTGGTCAATATCGGTCTAATATTGGTCAAAATCGGTCCAATATTGGTCAATATCGGTCTAATATTGGTCAATATCGGTTCAGTATTGAACAATATCGGTCTAATATTGGTCAATATCGGAATAATATTGGTCAAAATCGCTGTAATATGAAAAAAAATTTTTTGACCAAAATTTTTTGGACCAAAATTTTTTTGGCCCAATTTTTTTGACCAAAATTTTTTTGATCAAAAATTTTTTTGACCAAAATTTTTGGGGCCAAAATTTTTTTGACCAAAATTTTTTTCCCAAAATTTTTTTCGCAAAATTTTTTGGTCCAAAATTTTTTTGACCAAAATTTTTTTTCCGAAAATTTTTTTGACCAAAATTTTTCTCAATTTTTTTCCGAATATTGGTCAATATCGGGTTAATATTGGTCAATATCGGCCCAATATTGGTCAATATCGGTCTAATATTGGTCAAAATCGGTCCAATATTGGTCAATATCGGTCTAATATTGGTCAATATCGGTTCAATATTGAACAATATCGGTCTAATATTGGTCAATATCGGACCAATATTGGTCAATATCGCTGTAATATAAAAAAAATTTTTTTGACCAAAATTTTTTTTTCGAAAATTTTGTTGAACAAAAATTTTTTAGACCAAAATTTTTT